GTGTAACAGTGACAATAAGGAAAAAATCATATCCTGAGACGTATGTATCAGTCATCTTGTGTTCAATTAACTGAAAAATTGGCATTCTGATTCCTGGAAAGTCCCATAAGAAAACATTAGGGTATTCAGGATGTGAATATAGGGTTGGCCACTCTGTTGTTTCCAGCATCCCGACCTCAGCGGCGCCTATATCATCATCAGCTAAGCCCAGGAAGGCATTGATAAACGATGACTTTCCAGAGCCCGACTCTCCGACGACGGCAATGTTGAATAATCCGGGTGACTTCATCATCCGCTGCGCTATCGAAGCTGCTTCTTTAAGGTTTCCTCCTTGGACAGCAGCTTTGAATTCTTCTTCGCTCATAGTGGGAGATTTATTCCCAACCACGACTGGGTCAATGGACATTTACTGAGCCTTCCTGGGAGCTGCTCAATCGACCTCAGCTGCCTGCCTTTGAAAAGGAGAACAAATATTTCAGTTATTAAAAATAAATGGAATGAATCTCCTGTATGACCCTGCCGTTATATCTACCATACGTCCTCAAGACCTAGGCCCAGATCCTGGAGCTACGGCTGTTTTATCCCAGCTGGGAATCTGTCCCCAGTCTCCCCAGTGGAACTACGGCCCATTGACCCCAGCTGGGAATCTGTCCCCAGTCTCCCCCGTGGAACTACGGCCCATTGACCCCAGCTGGGATCTGGCCCCATTGACTCCAATGGAGCTACGGCCCATTGACCCCAGCTGGGGAGCTGCCCCTTAATTATTGTATTATTAGGACTATTATATTTTGGCCAAGCAAAGTGAGGTCCTACATGCAACTTGATGGCATTTCTCTGTTGGTTTGTCTGCCCGTTGGACAAGCCGAATGGGGAAATAGACACACTGGGTTCATCTACACGGCAATAAGACACCTGTGGGTGGCCCGTGTCAGCTGACTCGGGCTCCGGGGGCTTGGGATGAGGAGCAATAAAATTACAGTGCAGACCTCTGGGCTTGGGCAGGAACCCGGCTCTGGGCCCCTCGGGGGACACGGACCAGCTGCAGATGTTTTATTGCAGTGTAGACGTACCCACTGAGTTATCGGCGCCGACTCTGTGGGGGCTCCGGGGCTGGAGCCTCCCCATCCCCCGCCCAGCTCGCCTCCGCCTCTTCCCCTGAGCACGCCATGTGCCCGCTTTTTCCCCCTAGGTCCCAGCACTTGTGCCTTGAAACAGCTGTTTCGCCCAGCTGGGAGGGAGGGGGGAGAAGGGGGAACTCGGCACACTAGGGGAAGAGGCGGGGCTGGGGCGGGGATTTGGGGAAGGAGTCTAATAGGGGCAGGGAGGGGGTGGAGTTGTGGCGGAGACTTTGGGGAAGGGGTTGGAATGGGGGCAGGGCAGGGAAAGGCTGGAGACGGGGCAGGGCTGGGGGTGAGGGGGCGCGAGCCTCCACCGGCTTGTGCTGGGAGGCAGTTTCCCCCCAGCCCCCCAAGCCTGCTTCTGGCCCCCACAGACCTTGGGCGCAGCCCCTCCCCCCTCCCTACGGAGGCCTGGAGCCAATCCCCCACCATGGGAGAGCTGCATAGGGCACCACAATGTCTAGGGACGGCCCTGCTGGGCCCCTCCAGGCATGTGGGTCCG